CAGGTAACTAGGGGCGCGAGGCGGGGAGGGGGGTCCTGGGCCAAGCCCCGACTCCAACCTGATTCTCTCCAAGCCCAGGAGCCTTTCCTTCTAGGAGGCAGAGGGCGGGGAGCTCTGGGACCTGCTCCCCCAAAGTCAACCCAGGCCCTAGAAACTTCCCCTGAGCTCCCCCGGTTCGGCCTGACCTCACCCCTACCCCACATCCACCCATCGAGTAGCCCAGACCCTCTGCTCCCTGCCCCCAGGTCTGCTGTCCCCCAGGGGCATAACCCAGGCCAGGCAGCCCCCACTTTCTGCACCCCACTTTCCTGCTCTCTCAGCTCCCCCAAATCCCAACCTCTTGGCCAGCTGTCTGCTGCCCTTGAACCTTTCTCCCCTGGCCCTGGGGGTTCCTGTCCACCTTCTCCCCCAGGACCCCCAAGGCCCTGCTTCCAGTCCAATGCTTTCTGTCACTGCAGAGGGACAGGGCACCTGGGTGATGTGAGCAGAGCAGGGCCTCCATGCAGCCATTCCTGTCCCCCCACCAGGCTTGGGTCCCAGAGCTGTGCCCCCTCCTGGCCAGCCGCTTGCCTCTCTGTGCCTGGAAGCTGGCTACTTCCAGCCCTTCCCACCCGGCAGGACAGCAGGGCTGGGCATGACCTCACCCAGCCACCCTGCTGGAGGCTCCCAGCCAGGTCTGGCCAGTGTCAGCAGCGTTTCCTCCCCCAGGCAGCGTTGAACCAGCTGTGGGTCTGGTGCCCTGCTGCTTCCCCAGGAACAACAGTTTGCTGGCCATGTCCACGGGCACTGGGGAAGCCCTGGGATCCCGGGAGGTGGGGCCCGCCACTGCTCACACACCCTGGAAGTTACACCTGTGGACGGTGAGCGGATCCGGCCAGGGGGTAGCGGGCGACAGAACGAGGACAAGTCCTGGAGAGAAGCCTGCTTTCGGTTCCCAGATATCCAGCTCCACTCCACACTAGGCACCATCCTAGCTAGGTGCTGGGATGGAGCTGTTAACCAGACAGAACAAGGGCCGAGGGAGCAGACACTCGAGGGCGTTCTAGGAGACTGAGCTGTCGAGGAGCCAATGAGCTGTTGAAGGAACGAGAAAATCCTTCCATGATGCGAGTAGCGTGGACAGTGAAACTGGATGTTGTAACAGAGGCTGGCTGGCGGGGCTCCTGTGGCCAGGGTGGTCAGGAAAGGCCTCTCTGAAGAGGCGACCTTTGAGTTGAGACCTGAATGAAGTGGCAGAATGAACTTGGGACCATCTGAGGGACCAGTGTTGTGGGCAGAGAACAGCAGCAGTGGTCTGCGTGGGCAGGAGTTATGCAGGTTGAGAAAGAAAAAAGGCCAGTTTGGTTCAGTGGATAGAGCATCGGCCTGCGGACTGAAGGGTCCCAGGTTCGATTCCGGTCAAGGGCACATGCGGGGTTGCAGGCTCGATCCCCAGTAGGGGGGCGTGCAGGAGGCAGCGATCAATGATCCTCTCACCTCATTGATGTTTCTATCTCTCCCTCTCCCTTCCTTTCTCCTCTCTCTTCCTCTCTGAAATCAATAAAAATTAAAAAGAAGAAGAAAGGCCAGCGCAGGGGGA